ATTCGAACTCTGACCTTACCTCTGTTAAATACTCTCAACCAACAGAGCTACAAGTCTCGACGAGAGCTTCGTCCTAGATAGGTTAATATTTTTTAATCATATTATTAGTACTCAAGAATCATACTAATTTTATCTGTGCTCCATTCATGCAGTTAATACGGGAAGAAACTTTTTGTACTATTTAATTACGTGATCAAGAGAAGATGTGGAAGATTAAGTTTGGAGAGGGGGCAAATGACCCCTTGTTGTACAGCACAAACAACTTCCATGGAAGGCAGACATGGGAGTTTGACCCAGATGCAGGTACCCCTGAAGAGAGAGCAGAGGTTGAAGAAGCTCGTGAAAATTTCTACAGAAACCGCTTCAAGGTTCAGCCCAGCAGTGATCTCCTCTGGCGTTTTCAGGTAATTAATATAAATTTTGGGCGGCCTGCTTTAATTGTTTACTTTTTTTTGTGTGTAAAATTTAAAAGCTATAGTTTATTTGCACCACATTAATGGAGCCATACACACATGTTGAAGATTTGGATGAATCTCAAGAAGATTATGCCTTTTTCTGATAACAACAAGAAAACATTTAAATTGCCAAGTCGTACATGAATAAAATATTTTAAATTCCAACCCCAATCCTCTCTTTTTGTCGTATATGATTTCATGTTAATAGTTCAAAAAGGTAATATAAATATATAATTTTGTTCTTTTTTACAAATTACTCCACCAATATGCAAAAGTTTCTAATAAGTCCACTGGTCAACCTGCGCGAGCTTAGGAAAGCCATGTGTTTTTTTTTTTTTTGGGTAAAAGACCACTGGCCAACTTTGTTTGACCATTTCTTTAAATGGTGGATGTAGATACGGATTGGACTTATATCTAAGAATTAGAAATATTTAAACAAACCCACAATACTTAATGATATGTATACAAATACTGAATAGTGTATTTCTTTGTATACAAATGATTTTCCTTTGATTAAATTTAATTAGTCCAAACTAATTATAAGTATCAGTATGACCCATTAACTCTTTTATTTTTATTTTTTAGAATAAGCGATAATTGTATTAATAATTCAGACACCAAGGCCATAAGCCAAAATAGCATAAACTACCCAAAAAAAGTTAATACAAATGTGGAAGCACAGTAATCCTAAACTAATGTTTTTATTACTAATGGGTCAAGAGTTTGAGGAACCTTGAACAGGCCAATGTTGGTGGTTGGGTCAGCAGATTATACTAAGTGTTAACCTTAATTAAAGATAACCTTTTGATTGGTGAATTAAGAGGATAATCAATATTATGTTAACCTTTACATTGAGTACAAGGCAGAGCAAATAATTAATTTTAGTGGTGATGAGACAGTTATATACACTTGTATTAGGTGAGTGAAAAGGAAAGGGGAAGGGCCCCAGAAAGGCACAGCTTTTCCCCCATCACATTTTTCATGCACTTGTATCAAATCAGAAAAAGAAAATCTCAAAATTGTATTATTGGTTATAAATTAATGCAATGTTCCCACTATTAATCTTGGTTTATTAATTTTTTTTTTTTCCTTTGACCAATTGCAGATGCAAAGAGAGAGAAACTTCAAACAAGAAATTCCTCCAGTAAGAATTGGGGAGGGTGAGGAAATCACATATGATCAGGCCACAGCTGCATACAGGAGGGCTGCTACCTTTTGGAATGCCTTGCAATCACCTCATGGACATTGGCCTGCTGAAAATGCTGGCCCAAACTTTTACTTTCCACCCCTGGTAAATACCACTCTTCATCTCACAGTAAAAGAAATTGATTATTTACCACAAACAGAAATATTTACAGTAAAAAAAATTGAGAAGCTGTAAGTGACACTGTGAGAGTAAAAAAAAATTGGGTTTTTTTTGGGTGCACAATTATTTGACAACTAACCAACTGTTAACATTATTTCAATGCAGGTCATGGCTGCATACATTCCAGGATATCTTAATGTTATTTTCACACCTGAGCATAAGAAGGAAATCTTGCGTTATACATACAACCATCAGGTAATTAGAAGCTCTTAATTCGAAGGATCAATTATTTCTTATTATGTTGTGTTTTGTGGTTGAGCTTATTGAATTATGAACTTGTCTACTGCAGAATGAAGATGGTGGGTGGGGATTGCACATAGCAGGGCCTAGTATGATGTTCACCACATGTCTTAACTACTGTATGATGCGTATACTCGGAGATGGCCCTGATGGCGGTCGTGACAACGCATGCGCAAGGGCACGAAAGTGGATTCTTGACCGTGGGGGTGCATGCTATGCTGCATCATGGGGAAAAACCTGGATGGCGGTATGACATACTTGATTGAAATACAGATAAAATGTTGTTGTACTGCAAAGGATGCATGCTTAATGAATGTGTCTAGAAAGAAGATCGTTATTGTTGAAATGATTGAACTTAATTATTTTGTTGTAGATCCTTGGTGTGTACGATTGGGAAGGCAGCAACCCCATGCCCCCGGAGTTTTGGACTTACCCTACTCTGCTTCCTTTTCATCCATGTAAGCACAATTTTCTTGCAGAGTCCCTTTTTTTTTTTACTGAAGTTTGCTACTTATGATAAGTCTTCTTTGGTTTTTTTAACTTTCTGGTTCTGACTAGTACTGCTTCTTGTGTGCAGCAAAAATGTTCTGCTACTGCAGGTTGACTTACCTGCCTATGTCTTACTTTTATGCCACAAGATTTGTTGGTCCAATCACTCCTCTTGTTGAAGAATTGAGACAAGAAATTTACTGTGAACCGTACAGTGAAATTAACTGGAGTACAGTGCGCCATTCGTGTGCAAAGGTGAGTTTACTTTTCTGTTCGTTAGTTCATATACGCAACTTTAATATAATGGTCTTGAAATTTTACTCACATACACAAGCTGACTTTGCTGTACATTGTTGATCAATGCAGGAAGATAACTACTATCCCCACGGCAGGGTTCAACGTTTTATGTGGGATAGTCTTTACACAGTTGTTGAGCCTCTTCTTAAGCGCTGGCCCTTCAAGAAGATCAGAGACAATGCTATTCAATTTACAATTGACCAAATTCATTATGAAGATGAGAACAGTCGCTATATTACGATCGGATGCGTGGAGAAGGTAATGAAATTAGCTAGAAGAAGAAAGATATGGAATGTGTAAGAGAATGCCTGCTGGTTATTTTAGTGATCTAATAATGCCTTTTGAATTGGACAGCCATTGATGATGCTTGCTTGCTGGGCCGAGGATCCTAGTGGAGAAGCTTTTAAGAAGCATATTCCTAGAGTTACAGATTATATATGGCTTGGAGAAGATGGAATCAAGATGCAGAGTTTTGGCAGCCAGTCATGGGATTGTGCTCTTGTAATTCAAGCTTTGCTTGCTGGGAATCTGAATGCTGAAATGGGACCTGTACTTAAGAAAGCACACGAATTCCTGAAGATATCTCAGGTTCCCTATTTAAACCATAAAGAATTTCTTTAATAATACTTCAAATGTTTCCGTTCTTTTGAGATTTTCTGTTGGCCTAAAATATTCATCCTGTATGTAACATTGTAGGTGAGGATCAATACTTCTGGCGACTACTTAGCTCATTTCCGTCACATTTCTAAGGGAGCATGGACTTTCTCTGATCGGGATCACGGATGGCAAGTTTCAGATTGTACTGCAGAGGCATTGAGGGTAATTGATTTTAATCATGCACTTTACTCAAGTTGAAGACTGAGCTTCAAATATGATGACAATGGGGCTGACTTGTAACTTTTTTGTTTCAGTGTTGCTGCCTGTTTGCAAATATGTCCCCAGAAGTTGTTGGTGAGCCAATGGAAGCTGAGTGTATGTATGATGCTGTCAATGTCATAATGTCTCTTCAGAGTCCAAATGGTGGTGTATCAGCCTGGGAGCCAACAGGAGCACCAAAATGGTTGGAGTGGCTCAACCCTGTGGAATTTCTCGAGGACCTTGTCATCGAATACGAGTACATCGAGTGCACTTCATCTTCAATCCAGGCCTTAATTTTGTTCAGGAAGTTGTACCCTGGGCACAGAAGGAAAGAGATCAACAATTTCATCACAAGGGCTGCAGACTACATTGAAGACATACAATATCCTGATGGCTCATGGTATGGAAACTGGGGAATCTGTTTTGTGTATGGTACCTGGTTTGCAATCAAAGGGTTGGAGGCTGCAGGCAGAACATACAACAATTGCGAGGCAGTACGCAAAGGTGTTGACTTTTTGCTCAAAACTCAAAGGGAAGATGGTGGTTGGGGAGAGCACTACACCTCATGCACAAACAAGGTATTAGTCTTCTTCTACTAACCTGATTGTAATCAAATTCATTTGTAAAGAAAGCATAATCCTCATAATATTTCCCTTTTCTATCTCTTCAGAAATATACAGCTCAAGACAGTACAAATTTGGTCCAAACTGCACTTGGATTGATGGGTCTGATTCACGGCCGGCAGGTCAGTAATGATTTAAACATCTCAGAGCTAACCTCTGCTCTCCCCATGCTCTGTTTTGATCCATCACAATTCCCTCCACAAAAATGATCTCTAAATAATTCTTATCTTTGTTATAGGCTGAGAGAGATCCAACTCCTATTCACCGTGCCGCAAGGGCATTGATGAACGGTCAATTGGACGACGGTGATTTCCCCCAACAGGTACTGTAGTAAAACCAAAAATGGAAAAAAAGAATGACAATACATATTACTTATTCTTATATATATATACACACACACACTAACTATTTGTTACTCTTTTTCTATTGCAGGAACTGATGGGAGTTTTTATGAGGAATGCCATGTTGCACTATGCAGCATATAGGAATATCTTCCCATTGTGGGCTCTCGGAGAATACCGTACACTGGTTCAGTTGCCTACCAAAAGGATTTGAGACTTGAACCACAAGCAGCCACAAGCAGAGGAGTTCATGGACTTGCCAATACAACCAGAACTAATAAAAGCTTGTTCTAGTTGGGCCATATTTTTTCTTTTCTTATTTTATGTTTGTAGAGTTTGATGTACTTGTAACCGCTGAAGAATGAATAATCTATGCATATATATAAATATATTGTATCTTACTTATACACACATGTATCATGTATGAGGCACAAGGCTTCAATAAAGTAAATGAATATGAGTTTTCATTGTAACTGCTACTTTACTACATTCTGCTCTTCAACTCCATTCACTCCATTCCTGCATGAACACCCTAGAAATGAAATAACAGATGAGGGCAATGTTTAAAAATATATAACCAAATTCCAGATTTCACCAATTGAATCTTTATTAGATGACTTCGTACTCTGCCTCACAGAATTTCTACTTTTAAGACTCTTGAAGCGTTTCTGGACTTGTCTCATCTTTTACAACCCGTGGAGAGCGAGAAAGTATAGAATTCACTGCAGTGAAGTCTAGAACTGAAGAGCAGCGTTTGCAGGTTGCAGTCTACAGTTGAAGATATTAAGGGCAAACCTTCAAGAGTGTCAATGGCTTGTTCTAATATCACCTTGTCTCCCACTCCTTGGTAAGATCCCTGTTTTTACCTTTAACCCAGCCACCTGAGAGTTTATGACTCTTCATGGTTGTTGCTTCAGTTGTCCTTAAATAACCAATGTTCATTATACTTGAACGCCAAGCAAGAAACCCTATTGGATGATACTCATCACTGTGTTCCTCAGTAGGACACGTAGTTACGCCATCATGAAACCCTATTAGATGATAACCTTTTAACAATTTTTGAATCTTAGTACTCCAAGACACATAATTGGTGTCATCCAACTAAGAGACATAAAGTCACCAAATTTCCCAGGTGTTCCAAATTAGGGCACCAAAATTCCCAAATTGGATCACACAATAGCAACTTACAAGTCAGAGCCTCAAATTCACCAATTGACAACTGATTCAACCTTTTTAACAGAATAAAAGGATTTCGCACCGATCAAAAGACCAAAAATGGAATAAACTTAAGATATGAAAACATATGATGCTGTAAATGTGAACAACACATTACAGAGGAGAGAAAACCATGATGAGCTCGAAGAATGAAAAAGTAAACAAAAGGTGAAAAACTTAGCTCAGAGTCACACACGAAACAGGATCTCAGATGCTGTGTTACGGCTCTAATACTAATACCATGGTAGAAACCATTGTGCCACATCAAATCACTGTAATTCACAATCAATCAATTACAAATAGAGAACAAATATCAAGACTAGTAAAGAAGAAAAGCAGGAGAGAGCAGAAGGGTTAGAATGGGTAGGGAAAAGCCTTAATTATATATTTATTATTAATAAAATTTATCATCAACTCTGACAAAGTATATTTAAAATACATGCTTAAAAGTAAAGCTGATATCCAAAACCAAATATAAAGAGAATAGTCACCCCCTTGTATTTTAATAATCTGCATAAATAACTCATTAACTTTTAAACTGTTTTCTTCCTTTACCTAATGGCGTTAAGCAGACAACACTCTTCGTATATGCGTACATACACGTAGATTAATCTACACGACTACACATAGAGAGGCATTGGAACCATATTGCGGTATTCTGCAAGAGCCCAAATTGGGAAAATATTCCTGAATGCTGCGTAGTGTAACATGGCATTCCTAAAGAAAACTCCGATCACTTCCTGTCACGAGAAAAAGAAAATAAACAAAACATGAGCAACCTGTAGCTAGTAGTAATTAAACAATATCCTTTTTACTTTTTCCTTGGTGCAGGAGAAAATACTTCCTCATCACCGGATGTATATGATAAGAGAAATAGACGCATGGTTGTATACAACCCGGTAACACTTAAGATTTTCTCATGCTGCAGAATAAATGGTGTTTAAGAATGGTACCTGCTGGGGGAAATCGCCATTTTCCAATTGAGAATTGATCAACATCTTTGCAGCTTGGTGAATAGGAGTAGGGTCTCTCTCCGCCTATTGCATAAATAAAAAATATGAACATGAAAACTTAGAAATTGGGAGAGAAATATGCTAAAGTAAAAGAACTGAGGAAGTGGCTGGCACATAGCTAGGTGTAAATATTCATGTACTAACCTGTCCACCATGAATTAAACCCATTAATCCCATTGCAGTCTGCACCAAATTGGATCGGTCTCCTTCAAGAGGTGTATAGATCTGTGTAACCAATTCAAGAGATTAATTTTAGTTTACTCTGAAGAGAGAATATATTTACTAATGAATCTCAGAACAACTAGGCGCACGGTATAAATTGAGCTGCATGTTGCATGTGCTAGTGTGCTATGAGTATTTTGGGAATAGACCAACAAAGCCTCAACATATTTCATGTAAAGGGGGAAAGAAAAGAAAAAGAAAGAGAAAGTGAACCTTGGTTTCACAAGAAATGTAGCTCTCTCCCCATCCACCATCATCTCTCTGTGTTTTGAGTAAAAATTCAACACCTCGGCGTATAGCCTCACAATTATTGTAAGTCTTGCCAGCAGCCTCTAACCCGCTGATTGCAAACCATGTTCCATAAATGAAGCAGATTCCCCAGTTTCCATACCTGTGATAATTATTGCCTCTTTAGTTTATTTCTCTAACACAAGTAAGAACATAAGTACGCTTAACATAATCTGATCTAAGGCAAGCATACCATGACCCATCAGGACTTTGTATGTCTTCAATGAACCCTGCAGCAGTTGTGATGAAATTATCTATCTGTTTCTTTCTGTGGGCAGGGTATAACTTCCTAAACAAAGCTAATGCTTGGATTGAAGATGAGGTGCACTCAACATGCCTGCATGACTCTTATGTTAGTCTTCAAGGAATGTAGTTTAGAACTTAAGGAATTACAGAATTGAAAATGTTGGATCAAAAGTTTTACTCATATTCGATGATGAGATGGTCGAGAAATTCTACAGGGTTGAGCCACTGAAGGAGAAAATGAATATATGCATGTCATGATACACATTGAAACAATGGAGATATTAAAATTCTTTGATCACTTAAAGGGATTTTTCTTACTTACCTCCAACCATTTTGGAGCTCCTGCCGGCTCCCAGGCTGATACACCACCATTTGGACTCTGGTTCAAATCATAGAATGGAGCTCATTAATACCATTATAACAAAATAAAGGGACAGTAAAGAGAAAATAAAAATAACTATCTTCAGTAGTTATAAATTTCCCCATTTAGAGATATACTACTTTTTATTCAATCTAATCCTCACCTGCAGAGAAAGTATGACATTGACAGCATCATATAAACGCTCAGGTTCTAGTTGTTCACCAACGAGTTGTGGTGGCAGCATGGACAACAACAAGCAACACTGTTCGACATTACATGTGCTTGAGAAACATATACAATTGTAATGGCTCTAGCTCAACCCTCAGCTTGATAAAAATAATCACCTTCAAACCTTCTGCAGTACAATCAGAAACTTGCAATCCTTGGTCTTGATCAGAGAAAGTCCATGCTCCTTTAGAAATGTGGCGAAAATAGGCTAAAAAGTCACCAGAAGGATTATCCCTAACCTAGAATATTACAATCCGATGCATATTTTAGCCAACTTAAAATGCAATGGGAGAAAGAAAAATGCTTGATGGTCAAAGTGAAAGGAAGAATGAAAAGGGCTTTTATAGAACTTGTAAGTACAGAAACCTGAGATTTCTTAATGAAGTCATGTCCTTTCTTAAGTACAGATCCAAGTTCATCATTCAGATTTGCAGCAAGCAAAGCTTGAATGGCGAAACTAGCATCCCACATCTGGCTACCAAAACTCTGCATATGAGTACAATGAATCAAAAACAGAACTTTGTTGCCCAAATAGCACTTCCAACCAAGAAGCTGAAATTAAAACCTGAAATATGCAAACTGCTAACCTGCATTGTCATTCCATCTTCTGCAACCCATATGTAATCTGCAATCCTTGCGAGATGCTTCTTGTAAGATTCTCCATTCGGATCTTCAGCCCAGCAAGCAAGCATATTTAATGGCTGCCAAATTCAAATAACTTTGCATTTTAAATAGCAGCAATGTGAATACTATTCTCATCTAATTAGTTTTTCTTCCATTATGATCTGATTACCTTTCCCCCAACTCCAATAGTAATGTATCGAGTATTCTCGTCTTCATAATGAATGTGTTTACTGGTTTCTTGAAGAGCCTTCTCTCTGAGCTTTTTGAAGGGCCAGCGAGTGAAAAGAGGCTCACAGATTGTGTGAAGACTATCCCACATCAAGCATTGTAACTTACGATGGGGATGGTATTTATCCTCCTGCATTTAAAAATAAATAAATTGAACATTCATCTTATGCATGCACAGACATTTTTCAATAACATCAAAATGTGGTAGTGTGGCACGAATCAAAAATATTGGGTGCATGCAAACCATGTAAACTCACTTTTGCACACAGATGGCGCACTTCGCTCCATTTAATTTCATTGTAAGGTTCATTGTAGATTTCTTCTCTCAGTTGCAGAATGAGGGGTGTGATGGGGCCAACAACTCTTTTCCCAAACAAATATGACATAGCCAAGTAACTCATGCGAGTATAGCAGAGTATTTTTGCTGCACATATGGAGTATCAATCAGAATGAGAAAGTTGCAAACCACAGAACTATCAGTGAATTCGCATCGAAGTCGAAGTTACATCCTTTTAATTGAACTATATCCATTGTACTATACTACAATACTGTTTTCTGAGTTCAAACAGAAAAATTAAATTGCGCAAACCTGGATGAAAAGGGAGGAAAGATGGGCAGATCCAAAGCTCTGGGGGAATAGGGTTGTTTCCCTCCCAATCATATACACCGAGCATCTACGATCAAAGAAATTTAATCATTTGAGACAGTACTAATCTACAATAAGTTATTGGTGCATAAAATTTAGCATAAATGAATCACACGTAAAGAAATGAAAAATGGTAATCATATGAGAAGAAGATTATAAGTTTGTTAGAAAAGATCATACTGCCATCCAAATCTTTCCCCAAGATGAAGAGTGTGTTGCACCACCATGATCAAGAATCCATTTCCTTGCTCTTGCACAAGCATTGTCTAGACCACCATCGGGTCCTTCGCCAAGTAGACGCATACAAATGTAGTTCAGAAGTGTACACAACATCATACTTTGGCCCTCTTCTATGTGTAATCCCCACCCACCATCTTCGTTCTGCAACATACAAATTTCTTTAGGCTGAACTGGTATCCATATACATGATTAATTAATGTAGAAAACCATATAAATAATAACACAATATGATTTTTAACCTGGTGACAGTACATGAACCAAAGCATTTCCTTACGATGGTCTGCAGAGAAAACCATATTAAGATGGCCTGTAATATACAGGGCTATGACCTGCATTTTAAGGGAAGAAACAAAAGAGAAGATAAAAAAAAGGGGAATTAATTGCTCCGAAACCCAGATGGCCAAATATATCAATTTCATCTACACAGCATACTTTTGCAGTTAAGAGAATTAAAAAAAACTTTGGGAGTCTGACAAAAGTAGTATGCTCTTGCATATTGTGGAAACAAATTAAAAGAGTTACAACTCACAAAGGGAGGAGTATAAAACAAAGGACCAGTATTTTGAGCGGGCCAATGGCCGTGTGGTGATTGCAAGGCAGACCAGAAGGCAACAGCCCTTTTGAATGCAACGGTGGCTTTTTCATGTCTACATTCCTCATCATCATCTTCGATTTTAACTTGGGGAATTGTTTGCTTGAAATTTCTCTCTCTGTGAAGCTACATTTATTCGTTAAAGAGAAAGTTATTAGAAAGATTAAAAAAATGTAATCGAGTATAAAAACTTCAATTCTTTCCAGTAACATGATACATAATCCCCAACAATTCATAGTCCATCCTTCATAATCCCCAACAATTCATAGTCCATACTTGGGGAATTGTTTGCTTGAATTGTTTGTAGTCGATACGTTTTTGTTATTGACATATTACTTATCCCCAATAATATTAAGAGCATCCACAATGGATGTTCAATAGTTTAATCAATTGAACTATTTTGGCATCTATTAAATTGGATTGTAATTTTACTTGCAATGGTACAGTTCAATAGTTATATCTTCTTACATATTCTTTTACATACTCAAATAAAATAAAATGGATAAATTTAATAACAATAAAATTGTACCATTGAAATCTTCTTACATGTTCAAGTATAAATAAAAAAAAGTACACACGCTACAAATGCATTAATTGATGTATTATGACATTATGCATTAATGGCATAATGTATTAATGGCTGTATTTTTTTGATATTTTTTTGGTATGCTGGTCTCATGGTTAGTCTTAGGGGTGGGCGTGATCTGGTTTGGTCCAGTTTTCACCTCAAATCAGAATTGAAACCGATACTATTTAACTGGTTTGGTTCTGATCGATTTTAGTGAATTTTTTTATAAAAAAATTGGCCATCTGGTTTGAACCAATTTCGATCTGGTTTCCGATTTTTCCAATTTTGAATCGGATTATTATTATAAATTATTTTTTTATACAAATTCCAACTAAAATTTTATGTTTTGAGCTTGAAAATTAACAAATGATCCAATTTCATACAAAGAGAGACATTGGACCTAGAAAAGAGAGATGTTTAGAAGTTGGGTTTGGGAAATATTAGTTATGAGATTCAAAATGTAGCATTGGATTTAAATAATTTTGTAAAAAAAATAAAATAATACACAACCGGTCCGATTCGGCCCAATTTATTTTTGGTCAACTCGATTTTTTCCGGTCCAATTCGGCTCGATTTTTCGATTTTTCGGTTTGAATGCCCACCCCTAGTTAGGCTATTGCAATTCAATAGAGGGTTCATCGCATAGCCCCCTCTACTGCAATTGCATTTATTGCAATGAACTAAATTACACCATTGCAAATGAAATTTTATTATTTTAGTTCAATTTCATGCAATAAAATTGCATTGATCCTAACCATTGCAAATGCTATAAATACCATATCAATATCACCAGCCCCTTTTTAAATAGTCAATTTTCATAGATATAGTTTTTGAGATTTGTGAAGAGAAATCAGAGAGAATTGAAGTACGTTTTTAGCAAATATCAGACTCAATCACAACCATTGAAAGTGACTGAATCTAAAACATTGTGTGTCAAAAATGTGCGTCTCCCTATCTTGACTATATATATAGAGATATGTAATGTGAAGTACCTGCATTCGCCAGAGGATGTCACTGGAGGCCTTGACCTTGTAACGATTGTTGTAAAAGTTTTGACGAGCCTCTTCAACCTCTGCTCGCTCTTGAGGTGTGCCTGCATGAGGATCAAACTCCCATATTTGCCTTCCCACAAACTTGTTTGTGCTGAACAAGTAAGGGTCAACATTTTCACCCTCAGCTCCAAACTTCAGCTTCCACATTATTAATTCTTGATGATCTCAATTAATTTGACTGAGATCACTGGAGACTACTTATAATTAATGTTGTTGTACACTTCTTAATGAAGAACTACCAAAAAGCTTTTGGTTGGGAAATTTCTCAAGGGCTCTTAAACCATTTGCAATGCTTGCATTGTTTGTGATCCTCAGTATGAGACGCCTCCATATATATATATAGAAACTCCCCAACTCATTGGCCACGTACTTTGCCTCTGTAGTTAATTTTTTATTAGACTCAACTCTGGCCAACTTCCTCAAGATCTATCTACCTAATTCTAGCTAAAAAGAAAGATTAGATTAGGGCTTCTTATATATAGGTCGACTTTCATCAAGATGTAATGAATGCAGTTCACACACTCTCCTTTTTCAATTGCAGTCCACTGTTACCAAGTAAGCAATTAGGGCCAGTTTTAGCATTGCTGTGTTGTGAAAATAATCGCTGTCAGATTTGTTGTGAGAGAAAATAGTTTGGCGTTTGGTACAACTTTTTGTTAAAAGTGTTGTTGGTACTGATTCCCGTATAATTAGAAAAATGATTGCCTCATAATCATTAAACCCAACACTTCTTCGAAACTGATTCATGCATAATTAGAAAATGAAAGCACCTCATTAGCTGCTTTCCTTTATAACTTTCTCTCACATCAATTTTTCACAATAAGTTATTTTCTCATAATTGACCAAACGGGCTGGGCTTCTCAAAATTTTAAAAAAATCACTTATCACCCCAAAATAAGCAATGTCAAACAGGCAGTTAGTATGTCCATAAAATTTTAGGAATTTATAGTATATGTCTACCATAAATGGAATTATATGAAAAAACTTTCCTAAAATTTAGCGTTTCTTTAAATATATATATGTACATGTCTTAATAGTTTTTTTCTTGAGTTTTCTTAAGCAATTTTTTTTAAGCTTCCTATATATATAGAATTTATGTATATCAGTTATTCTCTTATTCAGATGTCATCACATTATTATAATGCGGATGCCATTGTAAATAGGGAGGAAAGCAGGGAAGGGTAGTAGAAAATACATGGTGTCCCCACGATAATAACGTCCGGACGTCCGCATAGGAGAATTTCTATATATATATATATATATATACACACACATACACACACACACATACATGTCTGCCATGTATATTAGTTTTTTTCTTGGGTTTTCCAAAGCAATTTTTATGGAGTTTTATCTCAATATACTCAAGTTGAGTACCTATTGTGGACGTGTGAGTTTCTTTTTCCTTTTTCTGTAACCTTTTAGATGGGTACTTTTTAACTTTAATTATGAGTTTAAAGATCCATACCAAAGGTATTGTATGAGTTCAATTACCAAGACTAGAGGCAATTTATGTGTATAATTATGCACACAAGAGTTGGCTTTTGGGCTAGAGGTAACTTATGGATTTAATTACCCAGAGTAGAGGTAATTTATGGGTTTAATGACCTGTATGCATAGGTACCTACTTTTAGCTGATCCAATATGAACTCTACAGCTAATGCTTATTCTATTAATAACGGAATTACATCTAAAAGAAAAGGCAGTCTTATAATTATTGCCGCCGCTTAGTCTAAATAGAACATTAACAACTAAAACAACAAAAGATATTGTGTTAACTTGTCATATACGTCTGCTCCCTCACCAAATCCACCTACATTTTTCACCATTCTTCTGAAAAAAAAAACCCCACGATTATTTGTTCCATCAAAGTGGTATTGCTATAACTTTACTTTGCTTTTTGTTTTGTTTTGTTTTTGGTTGATCTTCTGCCTTCTGCTTTAAAATTTTATTGAATTAAAACTAATTTCTACTCCTTATACTCTAACAGAAATGAATGTGAATATACTGTATACCTTTGGTCGAACTCCCAAAGAGAACTATAATTTGAAGGACAAAGTTGTGTGGTTAAAATGTGCTTGTGTATGTAGTGCGCAACAAGTGCTATTATATATGTGGGGATGGCAAAAAATTTCATGCATGACGTGCACGGATTTAGATGACTTAGAGCAGAAGAAATTAAAGCGGGGTCACAAGAGAGTGAGTTGAAAATCTTCATAATATTTCAAGATCTTTAGGATTAATGAAGAAGAGAAAAACTTTGGCGGCCAATTGTGTTGCAGGGTTTCGTTCAGTTTGTGCAGTTTGTTCTGCTCTGTATATTGGTTGATTGTGTTGTGTGCTTCTCTAGCTTGCTTTTCAGTGCAAGCAGTTTACTGGGAAAACTTGTTCCCCATTGGTTGAAAAATAAAATAGAATAAAAGATGTGTAGTATACGAACATACAAGAAGAAGGGTGATCGAAATTGAATGCAATGGGATGAGCACACTGTCCAGACCTAATCTACATCTGCCATATTGCATTGAGTTTATAAAAACTTTCATCTAATATTAAAGAAGTGAGATATGAGTTCATCGAAATTGAATGCAATGGGATGAGCACATTGTCCTCACCTAATCTACATATGCCATATTGCATTGACTTTATCAAAACTTTCATCTTATATTAAAGAAGTGAGATATGAGTTGATCGAAATTGAAGGCAATGAGATGAGCACACTGTCCTAACCTAATCTACATCTACCATATTGCATTGATCAGTTTATAAAAACTTTGAGAAGTGAGTTGGCGCTTCTAGAATTATTACTTTTTTCTAATAAAACTTAAGTAATTTTGAGTTTGCCATCCTGGTGGTGAGCATACACCAGATTAAGAAGAAAAACTTATATGAAATGGCGATAGCACTGTTTTGCTATCTTCGATCAATTACACTGTTAAATGAAAAAGTTATCATATATGTGGCATAGCATAATTGGCCAATAATAGCAAAATAGTATTATCCCCTTTGCACACAAATGTTTCTCCAAATTAAGGGGAGAGCAATGGTCAAGTCAATTTAGTAGTGCACAATCCATTCGTCGTTGAATTGTCAAAGTACAAGAAGTTCAATTCATTGGGCTGGACAGGAGGCAGCGGAGAAGAAGCATCTTGCTTTCTTTTTGGGGCTAACAACTTTGAAAAAAGATTGACAACTTTGCATTAATTGATAACCAAGAAAGTTGGAGAATTTTGAATTGTATTTAGACTCCGAGTCCAATTAGATTTCTTGGGATAACCAAAAAAAAAAGAAAGAAAAGTTCCAACTAGACTTTTACTGACTATGGCTACGACTAATTTGCCACTGAATGGATACTTTTCATAAGAAGAAAAAAGGACTTCATTGTATCAGGTATGTGCTTGCTATACATGTATTTTAATCACAATTAGGTTCCTAATTATACGTAACCCATCATGCTTTGATCTACTGATACACGCAACGTGGCTGAAACCGGCACGTTGGATTCCACCGTCACACGATTGCTCGACACGTTTCGTAGGACATGCTTAGGAAATGACTCACTTGCATGCAATGTGTATTGCACATTTTGTATGAGATCAGGGAAGAGGAGAAGTTTTGAGAAATCAACGGTCCATCTAGTCCCATTGCTCCAAACTGACCCCTTGGCAACCGTTGATTTAAGAACCATGCCTTGTACTACATTTCGGTCAACCATGACTTGATCAATGGTAGTAAAATACTGTCCGTTAGATTGATCTAGTTGGACGATTGGGACACCCGTGTAATCACCTGAGAACATATTGTCAACAATACTAATGCCACATGCCACACCCTTCAACGATTTAATCAAAACAAAAGCATTGCCAAGGAAGAATGACCCCGCTATATGGAGTTGGACCGGGTCCTCCGCCACAATACCCGTGAAATCAAAGTAAGAGTTCAGTATTCGAGTTTGGGTCAACCCGGGAGCCCGAACATAAATTCCGGTCCCACCCCATGTAGTGGCCTTGTTATAGCAATGTACTCCGGTGAGCACATTGGCTTGCCCTTGTACCATTACACCAATTGATGCCGAAAAAATTACCACATCGGTGATTGCGTTATCGTTCCCTTGGATGTTAATTCCAATACCAGAAAAGTTCCTTTCGCGGAGGTCACCGCCGATATTGATGTGTTGGCCGATAAAGGAGTTTCTAACATAGGTTTCATGGCCACCTTGGATTAGTATACCACTGGTGGTGAAATGTGAAATGTAACAATTGTCAATGGTAGTTCTTAGTGAATTTATAACTGCAATGCCACCACCTCTGAACTTTGAGTTTATCATGAGATCCTTGAGTGTAATGTCTTCGTACACAAAAGAATTCGAGGATGACCACAACTCGATCAAATGGCGGTCGGTCGGGAAATCATCAGATGCATGAAGGGATCCACCATGAATCTGTAACACCATAACAATATCCCATGAGAATATGGACAAAATAAAATTTTAAAAATATAAACATGAAAAATATGAAATCAACTATTCTTTTTTTATTATTATGACATGAGGGAAATCAAATTATACATCTTTTAGCATTAATTAGGAAGAGAATTATTACTAAACTAAGAGCTAGTTGGTTATTGTAACAAATTACATTAAATAAAATTTCATAAGTATATACCATTATTATAGATATAGGCTTAGCTAAGTTGGCTAAAGCGGATATGCTCATCACTCTGCACCCAAGTACGAATCCCCCTCCCCGTAATTTAATGTAGTTTGTCAGTTGTATAAAAATAAAAAATATTAACAAGTCTGATACTAAACTTAAAATGTTAAGGCTACCCCATATAGTAATTACATATTTCATCCAACACACTCCATCCCATTAAAACAAACACAGTGAGTTCATCTATATATGTAGTACTAATTGAGATAATATGTTAGAAAAGTTTGGAACAAAAAAAAAGAAAATTGTACCATAAAGTTTCCACCACCGGTGTCTGGTAAGCGCAATGGACGGCTGATCTTGTACGTGCCTCCATCAAGGTGAACTTCAGTGCCTCCAAGGTCAGCAACACCCTCAATCAGGTGACCATCATCAAGAGGAGATGCAAAGGCATCAGAGATAGCTTCCTGAAGTGCCCCTGTGCTGTCCAATCTTCCAGTGGGGTCAGCACCATACTCAGTCACGTGATGAACACGTGAGCCCGAGGACACCTATGAATCACATATGAACAACAACATATCATATATATCTAATCATTTCGGAAAATTAATCAAAATGAACCAAACCCAATTTTTATTTCTTATTTAAAAAAAAAAACAAATTATGGACTTCGCACCTTATTTTGGATAGTATGTGATGCCTTCATCATTAGAGCCATGCGCCTCATTTGGTCGTGGTAAGTACCAGCTGCCCCTGCGTATGAGCTTTCTCCATGATTAACCATTACATTTAGATACATAAACCCCATTAACAGCTTCACAAACATAGCATTTGGTGGTAACATGGCTTTCTGTTTTGAGAGAGAGAGAGAGAGAGAGAGAGAGAGAGAGAGAGAGAGAGAGATGTATATACACTCTCCATCTGAGCCAACGTCTCATATATATACTGGCTAATGCATACATACTAATCTTTGAAAGATACTTTCCGGGCGAGCCAAAAAACTTATAGTCTCCGAGGTCATCTTAGGCCTACATGTACTTCCGCCGCTAATTATAATTATTTTGAATTAGTTTACTTTGTTTGAAAAAGATAGTAGGAGGATTAAATTTGTGTAGCACCTAATTAGAGATGACCGAATTAACGAATTAATTACGACCTTATTATATAAACACTATTTGAGATTTGAATTTGTAGCACCCTATAATTTGAAATGGACTTATAGAGTGCCCCAAATGTTAGGCAATAATTAATCAATGAAAGAGAAAATTAAACTTCAAGTTTGACTAATTGATGAAGCACACTTTAGAAAATAGAGACTTGAAAATATCGGTGCAGCTGGAAGTTAGGCCTGAGTTGCTGCATGTATCTTCAACTATTGCTTTCATTCTTTCTTGGTCATTCGGGTTTTCAACTTCAAACTTCAAACTTGACCGCAACAAAAGCCACCGGAGTTTTCAACCTTGATAGGCCAGTTCTGTTTTCCCTCCATCGTTTTAGTCGTTTTCTTCACTTCTCTTTGGCATTACGTTTCTACTATAGAATGTGTGATGCATATGTTCCATATAAATTTTTCTCTTTTTTTTTTTCTTAAGTGAGAAATTTTTTGTCATTAGGGTTGATGAAAGTCGTATATATCACACTGTGCATGTGATGAAAGTCGGTAGAAGAAGTTGATGGGTGTGAAGAGCAAAAACTTAGGAGAGTGAATAGTGGTGAAATTACTAAGTTAACCTTCAATTTTAGTTTTATTATTAAATGGAGACTTGATTGATAAAAGAACAATTGATATTTGATACTTTTTAGTTGACATATTGCAATTGTTTTTCAAAGTTTTTGAGAGATTTTTACAAATAAAGAGGAATTGGTTACGCAGTTTCGATAGCAAATTTACTTAATTTAGGAAAGTGGCAGACTTGAGAACCTAGCTATTAGAACACCATTATTTTTTTGGAACCAAAACAATAAAACCATTATTCTTGTTAGTACTTTTTTTTATTTTTTTTATTTTTATGAGAAAGAGAATTCATTCATAAAACCAAAGACGTACAAAGAGCAACATGATATGGCCTCGTTAAAACCTTCCTAGGACAACCCCATAGGACAAACCCCAACGGAGGAAAGAGACGTACTACACGTGTTAGTACTTGTACTACTAATTTTTTCTGATTTCTAGCTAGCAATTAACCCTTGCATTTGATGTGGTCCTAAGAATTTAAAACCCATCATAAACCATAAAACAAAAAATCTAAAACCCAACAATATATAGGTTGATTAGTTTCCTGTTTTAAGTCATGAGAGATATCTGAGAGAAATAAAACATTATGCAAGCTCAAGGAAAGCATGATCAATCATCACAATCTATAATTGGCAATACAACGTTGCCCACAATATATAGCAAAACAACATTTCCAATTGAAAGGCAGGCCTTACATCTCTCCTGTCTAAAACTCAACCTCTATCTAACACACAAAAACAACCCCCTTGCGCTGTCATGTGCACACTAATTAGACCTTGTCAATTTCATGGACTATGGTTTCCTAATTTCTTCCAATATCATCCCCACCATCTCTTCCTCTTCTCTGGTTTTGGCCCCTTCACGCCCACCCTTTTGCATGTCCTCTAATTCCCATTTGCCACTCCAATACCAAAATCAAAAGCAAAGACAGACAGAGGGAGAGAGAGAGAGGTTTTAGTTCATTCAAATTGATAGAAATCATTTTAGTTTTCTGACAAGTAAGCTGGGGACCCTTTTTGGTTTTCACAACAACGCATGGTAATGGGCGCGCATATGGCTATGGCTAGGCTTATGCGCGCACCAAACCCAACCCCAACATTTTTCGTTGCTCTATTCATTGCCGTGCTTTCATGCATGGTCATGCTACCTTTTGGTTCACCAATGGCTACAACCACTGAAGCCCTTATGAGGTTCAAGAAAACGTTACAATTGGGAAACGAAAGTGCCACTCTTAGCAGTTGGGATCCTAACAAAGACCCGTGTAATGGTAACAAGGCGAATTGGGTTGGTGTGCTTTGCTTCAATGGGAATGTGAGGGGTTTGCAGCTTGAAAACTTGGGTTTGCAGGGAAAGCTTGATTTGGAGCCTCTTACTCAATTACCTTATTTGAAGACCCTAAGCTTCATGAACAATAGTTTGGCTGGTCCATTGCCTAAGCTTAAGAACCTAAAGTTGAGGTCTGTGTATTTGTCTTATAATCATTTCTCAGGTGAGATTCCTGATGATGCATTTGAGGGCATGATTTTGTTGAGGAAATTGTATTTGGGAAACAATCAGTTTACAGGAAAAATCCCTTCTTCCCTTACCACCGTGCCTAAGATTTTTGATGTGGGGCTTGAGGGGAACAAGTTTAGTGGCCAAATACCAGATTTTCGACAGAAGGGTTTGAAGAGGTTGAATCTAGCTAACAATGAATTGGAGGGTCCAGTTCCAGAAAGCCTAAGCAAGCTGGATCCAAGTAGTTTTTCAGGTAAGTAATTACAAATGTACATTCCTGCATGAGATTTCTTCCCATATATGTAGACTGATTTCTTTTGAATTCAAAGAAAAATGTGGATGACAATGCATGCAATGCATGCCTTACAATGCAAGTAATCTGGTATTAGGATAATTTTTCATCAAAAGCATCACCGTTTATTTATTTAATTTTCTGTGAACAAAATGTAGGCAATGGAAAACTATGTGGTCCACCTCTAGCGGGAAAATGCGGCGACCCTCCTCCTCCTCCTTCTCCTTCAGCTCCGCCGTCTGAATGTTCTGGGGACTCATGCGGCACCTCTAAGAAGCCATCGTCGGGTCTAAAAATAGCCCTGATTGTGGTGAGTATATTGCTCCTACTGGCCCTCATTGCTGTGATTTTGATCTTTCTCAACAAGAAAAGGCAACAATCAGAATTAGACGTGGCCGAATCATTGGACGACTCGACCTCCAAGTACACGGCAGCTGGTGGGAGCAGCCAAATGGATGTTAAGTCGGTAGAAGCTACGCCACATCCAAAGAAGGGTGACCTTGGAAAGTTGTCATTTGTGAGGGATGATAGGCAGAGGTTTGATTTGCATGACCTGCTTAGAGCCTCGGCTGAGATCTTGGGGAGCGGGACGTTTGGGGCTTCCTACAAGGCTCTGATCATGACTGATGCTGTGGTGGTCAAGAGGTATAAGCAGATGAACAATGTGGGAAGAGAGGAGTTCCATGAGCACATGAGAAGGCTTGGGAGATTGACACATCCAAACTTGTTGCCTCTGGTGGCCTATTATTATAGAAGGGAAGAGAAGCTCTTGGTTTCTGACTTTGTGGAGAATGGTAGCTTGGCCTCTCATCTTCATGGTGAGTTTTTTTGCTTCTTTTTTGTCACAATTAATAAAAGTTAGCTTAACAGTTATATGCACGCTTCAAACATAACCGCGTGAGAGATGTGATCAGCAATGCAGTCATTAAATACAGTACAAATACTTTTATTCATCTATATTGAAATAACATCATCCATGGTGGAGTTGCTTTTGTACAGGCAATCACAATTCAGATCAGCCTGTGCTGGACTGGCCAATTCGTTTGAGAGTAATCAAAGGCATAGCCAGGGGATTGGCCTACCTCTACAGCGCGCTCCCTAGCTTGGTTGTACCCCATGGCCATCTGAAATCCTCCAATGTACTTCTAGATGAAAACTTTGAGCCCCTCTTGAATGACTATGCCCTACTTCCAGTGATCAACATGGAGCAAGCCCAACACCTGATGATGGCCTACAAGTCACCCGAATACGCCCAGCACCGGCGCATCACAAAGAAGACCGATGTCTGGTGCTTGGGGATCATAATCTTGGAGGTGTTGACAGGCAAGTTCCCAGAGAACTATCTCAAGCAGAGCTTCGACAGCAGCGCGGATTTGGCCAGCTGGGTTAACGGAATGATCAAGGAGAAGAGGACCAGCGAGGTGTTTGATGAGGAAATGGGGAGAGTGGGGAGCAGCAAAGGAGAGCTGCTGAAGCTGTTGAAGATTGGTGTGAAATGTTGTGAGGAGGATGTGGAGAGAAGGCTGGATTTGAATGAAGTGGTTGAGAAGATTGATGAGCTGAATGAGGGAGAAAGTGATGGAGATTATCGATCAAGTGTTTCGAGTGAAGGAGATGATTATACCTCTCAAGTTGTGTGATTGCAGAAGAGAAATGATGAGGACTTTTGGTTCCAAGTATTGCTGGCTGGTTGGGACTTAGAGAAACCATGTTGTAAATTAGAAGAATATTATTTATATATGTGCAGGGGCTACTAGGTTTCAGCTAGCTTCATTCCCATGAGTTGAACCACGTGGCAGGGAGAGATTTGAAATTTAAAGCAATGAAGAAATTAATTTGTTTTTGTTTTTGTGTCATTGTTTTTTTCTTTTGCCCCATTTCTTTTGGATTAGGAAGTGGGGTTGTGTTTGTAGGTGTTGGGGATGATGGCTCTTGTATCATCTTGGTGTAATGGGAATTAATTAGCTGATAAAACTAGTCATCAGATATGCTCTCTCTCTCTCTCTCTCTCTCTCTCTCTCAATTCCTTTTGTTTTGGTTCTTTTTTGTCAAATTTTCTCTCTAAATTCGGGCACTGAATTTCTCTGTGTTCCTATTTGAAACCAATGACCTGTGTTAGACTTGGAATCAACTGAAAACGTATTCATATTGTCCATTTTTCTTAATAATTTTACACTTCTAAGACTTGATTGTTACCTACATAACAAACTTAAAATGAAGGTATATCAAAGTGAAAAGTTTGGTCAAACTACCGAGATCAAGAATGTAATTTGGTAGCAAGGGACTTATAGTAGCTCAAGTGGTTAGGAGCATTTTCCCAGTATTCTAGATCCTAAATTTGATTTCCCTTCTTCCAATATCGCTTTATATCCGAAAAAACAAATGTAAATTGGTTAAAAAGAAATGGAAAAAGTTTTAACCGAATGAGTTGAAGATGATGTGTACACTATTATGTGCTTAAATCGTGGCTGAACTTACGATCCACCACCCATTTACCACTCCAAGCAATGAGTCAATTTGACTTGAGCCAAAGTTCATGATTATTCTTGGCTTGTAAATATCCATTTACAAACCATATGGATGAATAGAGAGAACTAATCATGAAGTTTATAGTAGTTATATTTTTTAGTTTAAAAAATCTTAAATTCTATTCCTCCTAGATTTGGCTATAAAAAAAATAGAAAATTTGGCATAAGTCCAATTATGAGGAGAGATTTTGGGCGCAATCCATGCAGAAATTATTGTTGATCCAAGTCCTTTGACTTTTGCGCCACATAAGATTACATGCCTATTTCAATTTATTGATATTTACTTTTTTTTAAACAATTCTAACTCTCTTTTTTTTTTTGCCAATTTATGTTCGACTCTTATTCGACCCAAAATGCGTGAGTTATTTCACATGCAAAAAGGGTTCAAATTGTTGAGTTTTCAAAACTTGGATGAAAAAAGTTGATAGGTCATTCTGCCCTAAAAAAAATAGTGTGTTGTGGAAAAGGGGAGGGGGGAATCTCATTGTCTATGCTTAGATCTTCTACTTTTGGCAGCCGACTATCTTATTGTGAGGCTTCTATATACTTGGTCTTTTTTCTTTTTGATCTGAATTGTGAGGCTTCTATTTTAAAAAGCCAAAATAGAGAAACCGCCAGGTTTTGAACCAAAAAAGAAGAAGAAAAAATGTAAAAGTTCTGAGCCTGTGGTGGCTCATAAATTCTTGTAAATAGCAAATTCTAAGGTGGTCAAGTTTGATAAGGGACAAGAGGTTTGAGGCATCAGGATTTCTGGGCCACTTTGTACAGAACATGGAAAAGTTTCTACTTGATTAGTTTGTGTCCTAGCAATATTCTGTTTTTCATAGTTAGAGCTTTTGAAGAAAATGTGGCAAGCAAAAGGAGGAAATGGGACAAAGAAAGGAGCAGGAGGAGGAGGAGCAGCAGGAAATGGTTTGGTGGCAGTTGCCATAGACAATCAGAAAGGGAGCCAAAATGCACTGAGATGGGCTGCTGAGAATGTTATCACGAGGGGCCAAACTGTAATTCTACTACATGTTGTTCAGAAGTCATCTTCAACATCTTCATGTAATCTCTCTCTCTCATGTAACCAGAAGAGTAACTTGCTATTAAGATAATCTAAAAGTTCATAACCATTATAATATAAAAACAGTTATATTATTTATGCCTGGAATTCACAAAGCAAGTTCAACATATCAGATACATCTGTGATTTCACAATTTATATTGTGTCTCTTCTCACCTCTGGAGCTAATTCAATTTTCAATGCAAGACCAAGTTACAACTTCTTTTTTTGGAACAGTGGCTGGAAACAATGCCCTTATTTGTGATGTAAGCAATCCATCTCAATCGCCACGCAAACAGCAGCTTGAGAAGATGACCAAGGATCTGTTTCTTACCTTCCATTGCTATTGTACGCGTAAGGATGTAGGTTTCGAAGCTCTGCCTTCGTAAATTTTGGTCCATGAGCATCCTGCATAAAAAGGCTTAATTTACAATTCACCATTTGGAGCACATCCCTAAAATTTCTTATACATAATCATATCGATAATCACGACAGCTTTATCAATCGGTTTTATTTATGTTACTCTTTGATTGTTTGCTCATGTAAAGTTATTTTCTCAGATAAATTGCCTTGATATCGTACTTGAAGACGCGGATATAGCAAAAGCAGTAACAGAGTATGTTTCTTATGCTGCAATTGAGAATCTGGTTCTGGGAGCTCCAGCAAAGCATGGATTTATCAGGTAATGGCCTCATTCTATAAATCTGGTTTTGAGATTCTGTGTTTTCCTGGACACATTTTGGATAGAAATATATGTTTATACTGTAAAGACTCGTTTAGTTTGCTAATACTCAATGATTTTCTCACGCAGATTCAAGACATCAAGTATTCCAAGTAGTGTATCGAAAGGGGCACCTGATTTCTGCACTGTATATGTCATCTCCAAAGGGAAGATCTCCTCGGTGCGAAATGCTTCTCGTGCAGCACCATACAGTTCTCCACTAGTTAACCAAATAGATTCATTAAATAAGCAAAGTTTTAAACCACCTGAAACACCTAGATACAACAATATGTATTTAAAAGGTTTGTATCTCTCAGTTATTATGCTTTCTTGAAAACTGATTTTGGATGAAAAGTACTCTAAATGCAATATTTTTATCCTCAAAATCTAGCAGCTAGACCGTCGTTCAAGCCTCATAACTTGCAAGATGAAGCATACAGGTAAGTTAAACAGACAATGCTTTAGTGTTATGCTATTATGTATGAAAATAGATGCTGTGTAATTTACCATAGAAACTGATACCACCATCCTGAATTGAAACAGATTGGGATTAACAAGAGGAGGTTTTAGTAATGGGAGGATTAGTGGAGGATTCTCAGAATCGGAAAGCGACATATCATTTATAAGCTCGGAAAGGGCAAGCACTGACCGTGCTTCTTCTGTGACGTATGATTATATGGATACAAACCGAGGACGGCTATCTACTAGCTCAGACCAGAGCTTTGGGTCAATGCGTCAAGGACCTAAGTTCGCGGACTTCAGTTCTCTGCATGATTTTTCATCGGTTTCACATGAAAGCAACCTAACATCATCTTCATGGTCATCACAGAACCTGGTAAGGACAGGATATACTCAGCTCAACTTATATCAAGTATCCTTCCTTGCACATTATCTAGCTAGGTGTTTTTTTTCACCGCATTTATAAACTTATGCAGGACGAAGTCGAATCTGAGATGAGGAGACTGAAGCTAGAGCTGAAGCAAACAATGGACATGTACAGTACAGCATGTAGAGAAGCACTTTCAGCTAAACAGAAGGTGATAAGAAGTCTACATTTACCTTCTGCATTTTCAAGATTCCATTTAACTTTATGTCCCCCACAGGAAATGGAGCTGCACAATTGGAGGGTTGTAGAGGAGCAAAAACTAGAGGAGGCACGACTGGGTCAAGAAGCTGCAATAGCAGTTGCAGAGAAAGAAAGAGCTAGGTGCAGGGCAGCCATGGAAGCAGCTGACGCTGCTAAAAGAATTGCACAGTTGGAATCACAGAAACGAGCAAATACAGAAATAAAGGCCCTCAGAGAAGCAGAGGACATGAGGAAACTATTAGATAATCTAGCCCAAACCGATGACAAATACAGAAGATATGCTATTGAGGAGATTGAGCAGGCAACAGAACACTTTGCCCCGTCTCGGAAAATTGGGGAAGGAGGTTATGGTCCTGTCTTTAAGTGCTATCTTGATCACACACCAGTTGCAGTAAAGGTCTTGCGTCCGGATGCTGCTCAAGGAAGGACACAGTTTCAGAAAGAGGTGAGTACCGAGATCCTTGCTTAGAAAATATGATCTACTAAATTGATATAGTAAACTAACAAAGAAGTCTGTTTTAAAACCTGATACCTTGTGGAGATCAACAAACAGTACGAAATTGATCAAGACAGTTAAAAATATAAAATAGTTAGAAACTTACTACATTGAGGGAAAATGTAACAAAAAATGGCAAGATTCTAGAACCGAAAAGGGTAAGAACTCAAAATCACTCGAATAAGATTCTTAACAAAACTAAAGGTTAAGATTTCAGAAACACCCCCAAATAAACTTCAGTAGGATTCAAGAACCAGAAAAGGTAAGATCTCACAATGCCTGCTGCATCAATGTCTCTAAATCCAAGTGGTACTTGGTACCTGACAGTATTTCACTTTCAATTCCATATACATTTCATGCAATGCAATAGAAGCTCCATATACAAATTCTTTTCCAACATGCTTTATTCACTTACTTCTTGTTCTAAATTGCTTCCACCAAACATATAACGGTAAAAGATATGATATCGATATTTTTTATCTAATCTCTTCTGTCATGATCCAAATGCAGATTGACATACTTAGCTGCATTCGACATCCCAACATGGTACTACTTCTAGGAGCCTGCCCAGAGTATGGCGTTTTAGTCTATGAATATATGGCCAATGGAAGCTTAGAGGACTGTCTCATAAAGAGAGGGAACAAGCCAGCTCTTTCTTGGCAACTCAGGTTCCGAATCGCTGCTGAGATTGGCACAGGCCTACTCTTTCTTCATCAGACCAAGCCAGAACCCTTGGTGCACCGTGACCTCAAGCCCGGCAACATTTTGCTAGATCACAACTATGTGAGCAAGATTAGTGATGTTGGATTGGCCAGACTTGTCCCAGCAGTTGCTGAAAATATGACACAGTGCCTCATGACAGCAACAGCTGGAACATTCTGCTATATTGATCCTGAGTATCAACAAACAGGAATGCTTGGTGTAAAATCTGATGTCTACTCCTTAGGCATTATTCTTCTCCAATTGCTAACAGGTAGAACGCCGATGGGCTTGGCTCACCATGTCGACAAGGCTATTGAAAAGGACACATTTGAGGAGATGCTGGACCCAGCTGTCCCTGACTGGCCAGTGGAAGAAGCCTTAAGCCTTGCAAAGCTAGCAATCCAATGTGCAGAACTCAGACGAAAAGACAGGCCAGATCTTGGCACCGTGGTGCTGCCATCACTAAATAAATGGAGAGAACTTGCTGAAGATAAGATGAACCACAAGTTATTAGACGGCAATAATGGTCTTTCCCCCCATCACAGTCATGTTCCCGATCAACAGGTAAGTCGAAAAACTGAAAAACTTAGAAGCATTTGGATGCTGACTATGAGATCATTGCATAAGTTTACCTAGAAAATCAAACAGAAAATCTCCACCTTCTCTAAGATGCTTGGCATTAAAAATTTAGTTAAGACTAAAAAAAATGGAAAAGCAAGTAGGCTCATTCAAGTGCCAAAAAAACCAACATGAATCACATTATTTTAGGTCATATGTTAGGACTTCCATGTGATCAATGATCATCAACCTTAACTAAAAGAACTGGAAAAAAGCACATGTATACATGGTTCTACCGGTTTTCGATTAAGGAGGAAGGTATTTGACATTGTAGAGTATCTTTTGCAGGAAGTGATGAGTGATCCACAGCTCAATAATTCAGGAACCTCAAAGAGCCAATCAAGCACATCTTCACAGACAGAAAATCAAGCAGAAGCAGGTATAGAGTGAGAGAAACAATTTTGACAAGAAAACATGAAGAACTAAATTTAACGGTTTTCGATTTACTTGGTTTCACAGGGCCAACTGAAACTGAATAATGCTAGAAGGTCAGTGTGAGTTCCATGATGCAACATTGCCCCAGTGACCTCATTAGGTTAATTGGCACTTTGTTTCCTCAATAATTTTTTTTAAAATTGAAATTTTGGATGTGGGCTTCAGTGAGAAAGATACATAGGCATCAGAGACATCAAATTCAAAGTCTCAGACAGCCTGAAATTTTGTTGTCATGTAAATATGATTGGCATTCAAGTGTACATGTAAATATTCATATTATCAACAACAATGAGTATAACAAAGTTGTAGATTTCAAACATGCGTCTAAAAAAGCAAAAAAAAATCAACAATGACAGACAAGTACCTTTTTTTAAACCCAATTTCTGAACATCGTCAAATTATGAATGGTCATTTCCACACAAAAAAAACCCCCACTTCGGTTCCTTCATCCTTATTTTTGTACAACCCGGCCAATGTTCTTCTTTCCCTTGATGGGCTGCACAAATCAGGCACCATTTCAATTTGAGGGCTTGTTATAGAAAGAAAAATATTCCCATTTTATTGAAAATTTCCAAACTAACCCATATCTTCACATTTTCCAACATTTGTTCTTTAATTTTTACAAGCAGGCTAAAGACCAAAACCTAAGGAACAAACATTCTAGGCCTATAATCATGTGGCCCAATGGACAGTCATGGAGGTCCCAAGTACATAAGGGCTTAACTTTCAGAACCCATTCCATGAAGTAAAAGATGGGCTTGAAGTTACTTTCCCATATTTTTGGAAGCAAAACTCTTTAAATTTTTGCTTACAATAATAAAACTCTTGTTGAATTAACGTAAGTAATAGAATACTCTCATTAACTCAGTTCTTTTAAAACAACATGGTATTATTTCACTTTCAGATATCCTCAACCGTAAAGAAAGTAAGAAACGTGGCACCTTCAAAGTAGTGGACGTGTCATGTTCATAACAAACGGTGGCTGCAAGTGTGAAGTTTCTAGTTGTGGATTAATTTTCAATTTCACTTTTTACCTTCCTATTTCTACCAAATTAAGGAACATTCCCAGATTTTCTGTTCTTTATCACATCAGCAAGAAGATAACTAGTTCTAGCGTTATCAGAAAGTCTTTGTTGTTGCACAAGGAAGGAACAATGGGACAAGGCCAAGAAGTCAAGACCAGAGATGATGCCCAAGTTGAAATTCAGGTTCCTTTGTTTGTGTTTGAATGCATGACATGCCAAAACTGAGTTTTCTTTTCTTAAATCACATGACATGACATGAAAGTTGAAGTTAAATGTTGATTCTTCTGATTCAAATATTATGTTGGTTTGTTTTGTTGTGACAAATTAAATGGCAGGAGAGAGGGGAAATATTTTTCTTCTACAGGCCAAAAGTTAACAAGGAGGAAGCTCGCAGCCCAGATGATGTTCAACGTTTGTACATAGTTTTAAGGCCAGAGTCAGGTGAGAGGCCAATTGAGGAGAAGCAAGACCCTGATTCAGGAAAAGAAGGTGCAAAGAAGAAGGGATCTAATTCTGGTGAAAAAGGTTCTGGTGGTAGTCAAAGTGGGCATGGTAGGCATGAAGTGAACATTGAGAAGCAACCATTGCTGAGGTTCATAGTGATGGGAAGGAAAAGCCTTCCTGACCCAAGCAAGAAGGGCAGACCCTATTGGGGTTTTGTTGACATGGTCACCACAAATATAGATGATGTGAAAACTGCTCTTCAAGGAGGTACAAAATTTCCCATTTTAACTTTGCATAGATTAGTATTTCTATATGATAAGATCCTCATCTTGGTTTTCAATGCTAATATTGTGCTTGTTGGGTTTAGTGTTTTTGATTTTGTTTAGTGATCAGGATTTTAATTAAAAGATAATCATCACTACCATGCGGTGATACTAATTCACTCAAATTAAACATGTGGTGGTGGCGATCCCGCAGTATATATAACATGCGTAGGTATTACAGTCACACCGAAAAGTTACTCAGAAGCATAAGTAGAAATCAGAACTCATTGTATATACATGTTGTATGGCAGAGGAGTATGACACTAAAACCAAAGGGCACAGACACACTTCTGCAGTAAGGGCATTAGGAGAAGGCATATACCGCATTGTGAGGCATAAGGAGGAGAAGAAGAAACCCCACACTCATTTGATTTACAAGCTTGAGTTCCCACCAGAAGATGAGAACAATGAGCCTCAAGAGTCACTTAACATTAAACATGAAGGCTCATTTCATATTCAAATAAAGAACCCAGATCAACATGGCAGCAGCAGTACTTCTCAGTTCAGAGGGCTACAGAACAAGCGCAGGGCTATGTTTCCTGCCCACCTGCAAGGCCAGTTTGGGAATTTAAGGTACTGCCCAGCTGATCCACCTGACTTCTTGAACTATGAAGGATGTGAGTTCTTGCTCATATCGGCTTCGGAAGATATAGAAGAGGAATTGGGACTGGAGCTGCAGACAGAGGGGGAAGCAGTTGAATCTTGTTCTGATTTGATCAAAACTTTTGGGGAGACTGCATCTACCAGTTCTCTTCTGAGAGGCACTTGGGTTTGAAAAAGAAAATGGTACCATGCATAGTTGTAGTTTGTTGTATGTAACTTTTGAAGCACTTTGTGGGCACATGGCCTGTAGTTTGTAGATTTGTGAAGTTTGTGCGACCAACTCTATTGCTGCAGATGTAGTAGTGACCATGTGTTTTATGAATCAGTGGTTCAATTGTTTTTGTAAAAGCAAGCCAAGAGTTGGTAAGTGCAAAGAAAGTTGAAACAAGGTTGGTTCTGTAGCTCAAAGCAATAGCTGGTAGAAGTGTTTAAATATGCTGGAAGAACAAATTTCATCAGAAAAAAACACAAAAACTAGTATGTCCTCATGCAATAAACAGTTTTCGTAGAGAGAGTAGCTTACTCAAACGTAACAATCCAAATAGATTATTTGTTTTTGGTGTAATTATCCACAGAGGTTTATCTTTCCATTTTTCCTAACAAAATTACACAAATACGAACCACTCAAAAGCAGAGCTCCTCCTAAGATCAAAACTTGTGAGTTTTGACAAAAGATAAGATACAAAATTAAACAAAACTGAAAATAAAACCTTGGTGACAACAATTAACAGCACTATTTCAATCATAACTTTTTTCTTTTATAATTTTTTTTTTTTGGGAAAGATTCTTTTATAAATATTGGGTTTGTCTCATTGCAGCAGAAGTCCCGCCAAAGGGATATCTAACTTACTTACCAAAATTCGACCAAAAAATCAAACTTGCCCAAAAAAGTGAGCTTTAGCTCAATCCAAAACAAAAAGATGAGAGCTTGCTCTGTTGAGTTTCAGGGTTTTAGGGTTTAAGAAAGACTCTGTTTGTTTCTATGTATGGATGTGATTCCTCTAACCATGTCCTCCTCCTCCAAATTCGTCCAAATCCCCACAACCCTCACCTTAACTTTCAAACTTTCCTCATCCCCAAACAAACCCACAAACCCATCTCTCCTCCCCAACCCATCAAACCCCACTCTCACTCTCAGACTCCTCCTGACCCACAAACCCAAAAACCCAATTTTCCACACGCCCTCCAAAACCCATAACCACCTTCACCATCCCCTGTTTTCCACACCACCCAACAGCCCTGCACCTCCGCCAGACCACCAATCGGAGCAATTCAAAGCTGCCCAAGACGCTCTTTTGGAGTTTCTTCAAGAATTTGGGGTTTCTGAGACAGAAGCCGCCTTTGTTTCGTCGAATTCGCCGAGGTATTTGCGGATGTTGGTCGATGGGGTTTTGGAGTTGGATGAGCTTGGGCTGTGGAGAGAGCGGGAGAGAAAGGAGGGAAGAGAATTGGTTGGGTTTAAAGAAAAGGTGAGGTATTTAGCCAAGGAAAAAGGTGACAATGGAAAAGTTGCGTTTTTGGAGAGTGTGGTTGGGTTGAGTCTGTCTTCGGCTATGAATCTTGCCAGGCATTTATCAGCAGAGACACTTCCGAGACTCGTTGAGAAGGTAAGGGCATCGCAATTCGTAAAATAATAATAATAATTTGTTGAAGTTTTGGTCGACAATTTGTGAGAAAATTGTTTTAATGGAAGTGAATGTAATTTGTTTATGTTATGGTAAACAAGTAATTGGTACTTAGAATTGCTTTTCAACTTTTTTGAGTTCAGTTCTTGTTTCACGAACAAGTCATTGAATTTATTGGTTTCTTTGATGTGAACAAGGTTTTGAATCTTGTGATTATGGTGAACTAGTTATTGTTATTTGGGACAATTTGTGAGAAACAGTCTAGTGGAAGTTATTTATTGGGTTAATTTATGTCAAACATTTGATTGGGAGAAGGGTGAAGTATATTTCTCATCTGTGGAGCGTAGTGAAAAAAGAACATATTTTTTATATGGTACGACAAAGGAAGGCAAGACTTGTTGGAGTTACTTATTGTCGGAAGTGATGACATATTTTTCAGTTTTAATAGCTTATCTATGGCAATGCCCTCTTATCCACACTCAATATTACAAATCCTGTACTAAAAAAATTATGTATTATTTTTCCCTGGAAATCTTTTTGACATGACCCAAAATTCTTTGAAGTTTGTATGAGGTTCTGCATTATTAACATCATTGTGCATTCTTCGTCATGTCCTGACATGGAGAGAGCTCACTGGAAAGTATGAGTACAATGACTTCCGCTAGACTGTTTCTCACAAATTGTCCCAAATACCAGGCTGCATACATAGATGATATTACAGAATGGGAAAGTATGCAGCCTGATTATTTTATAGTACATAAACCTTTGAAATGACTTCGTGAGTTTATAAGTTCGTAATCAAGGACGCAAGATGAATTAGGACCCTATAACTGTAAAAGTGGAAATCTTATGACATGGACAAGACCCAGGAATTTGGTATTGATTCTCTAATGTCATATGAATGCAGAAATGAAATTATTCTTCAGATCTGTTGCAGAATTGTTTCTTATTTTGCATTTGGCTTATAGGTTAAGTATGTGAAGGAAATATTCTTTTCTGGCAGTAATGATGTGGGGCTCATTGGGAAAAATGCTCGTCGTATGATGATGCACTTATCAATTCCTATTGATGAAGACTTGCAACAAACCCTATCATTTTTTGAAAAGGTCTGGTATGTCCCTTCCAAATCTTAGTAATGCATTTATGTCAAACTGCAAGTTACTTTTAATTCTTTGTTATTTAGAGATTTGTGGTTCATATGCATTTATGTGTCTGGATAGTTTATTCTTATTTCCAGTTGGTTTATCTTTTTATGCTATAGATTGCAGCAAGGCGTGGAGGTCTGGACATGTTGGGTTTTGGAGACGCCACTTTTCGTTGTTTAATTGAATCCTTTCCCCGCCTTCTTTTGTTGTCCTTGGATCCTCACGTGACACCTATTGTGGAATATCTCGAAAATATTGGAGTCCCGAGAGAACGTATGAGAAACATAGTTCTGTTATATCCACCCATTATTTTTTGCAACATTAAAGTCATTAAAACAAGAGTGCTTGCATTTAGAGAGGTACAGTTAACTTCGGTTCTGCTTTCTCTTAATTCGAATTTAAGTGCAAAATTATTATGAAACTTAGGTGACTTTAAATATATAGTTACCAAATAGTTTGTTATTTCCAAAGCTGTATGAATGATAAAATAAGTGATCTCTATCTCACTGTGCAATTATGTTCGTTCTAGCTTCCTCTTCCCCACCTTGGACATTTCCTTGTTCTTTGGACATGTCAACTTTTGAATTTGTGAAATTTCATGATCAGTAGCATAACCAACTTTACTGAGATTACATTTATAACATATGCCTTTGGTTGTACATGTAATAAATAGAATTATGGTGTTGGTTTATACATTGTTCACTTGGTCTATATTATTTGGACCAAGAATGGATTTCATAACGTTATGGAGACACCTTGTCTGCCATGGTTGAGCATTTCTTCATGTATTGTTGTGCAGGTTGGTATGGAGGATAAAGATGTTGGTAGAATGTTGGTTAAATATCCATGGATTCTATCTACCAGCATTCAAGAGAACTTCAAGGAGGTTCTTTCTTTCTTCGATTTGGAGAAGGTACGGAATCCAATCAGGTCTTTTTATTTATGCTGTCTGATTTTTCCAACTGGAATGAATCATTATTTTGGTTAAAATACTAAATGAGAAATTTTGCTTCATTACAGGTACCAAAAATGAGTGTTGGTCTTGCAATCAAAAGCTGGCCTCATGTTTTGGGTTGCTCAACCAGCTTGCTAAAATTGATGGTTGACCAGATTGGTGAATTGGGTATTAGAAACAAGAAGTTAGGTCAGGTTATCTCTAGAAGCCCTCAGCTATTGATACGGAAACCTGTAGAATTTCTTCAGGTAGGTAATTTTTGTTTTATTCATATCTTCGCATTTATATTACACAAACTTGTTTCCTTATAAATTTGTTTGTTTGTATTCGCGATTTTTACCTCATGATTTAGATGATGGCTGCAGAGCTTACTTGTGTGGCTATTTGGTAAATTTGCTGTTTTAGGTTGAATATGAAATATTGAAGCCATATACGGTTTTTTTCTTTTCTTCCAGTTTCATGCTTTCAAGCTGATAATATCTAGCCTATACTGCTTGGTTCTTCATCAAATGACCAAGAAAAGAAAAGGATGTCATTGAAGAACTAGTCTATAAAACAGGAAGTAACAAATTGACGCAATGGAAAATTTTGAAAAGCAACATATACATAGATATATATATATATATTGTTCTTTAAACTGTTAGGTTGTTGCCATGTGTGTGTGTTGAGTTTGCAAAATTTAGATAGATATATATATATATATTATTCTTTGAACTGTTGGTTGTTGCCTTGTGTGTGTATTGAGTATGCAAATTTTATGGTGGACCGCAGTACGGTGTCTACAATGTGCGACACCTGTGGCAGATGGCCAGTATGCAAAGAAAGATAAGCATATCTCCATGGCTCTGAGCCTTTAATATCTCAGTTAGCAAGGTTCGCACAAACAATTGCAAGCGTAATTTAATTTTGTCCTTGAACATGAGACTTGAGAGAAATTGAAACTGATACATCCTTTAAATACCCTGACACCCTTGAACAAATGACCCGTAATATAGGATTATAAACTTGCGGACGAAATTGCCCCTGGTTTTCATGAGTCCGCGTGATTTATTTCTCTTATTATAAGCGCAATAAAGCTGCTAGTACTGGGTGAACTCATATTGTCCGAAGACTTGGTCTCACTGCCAATGCAATTAAACTTATGTAATGTGACCTAATCTAATCACCTACCAATTCAAGTTGGTCCCACATTAGAGATCAACACAATGCAACTGGATATACTTTACCAGTCTGTGAAGGATTCGGGAACCATGTAAATGTGTCACAGTTTCTTGAGTCCAGTTTTAACTGTTATTACTGCTTTATACAGGTGGTTTCATTTGTGGAAGGTCTAGGATTTGATAAAGAAACTGTTGGCATCATACTGGGTCGCTGTCCCGAAATATTTGCTGCCAGCATTGAGAGAACTCTCAGTAGGAAGCTTCAGTTTCTTGCTAGTATTGGTGTCTCCAAAGTTCATCTTCCACGGGTTATCAAAAAGTATCCAGAGCTTCTTGTTT